TTTATCCAGAGAGCATGGTTTACTTGATTTTCAAATATAATATATATAAATTTATAACAGACATGTATATTATTTTTATTATTTGGGTCAAATAGATTAATTAAATATATAATATTACATGAAAATATTTTATAATTACTTATATGTTTTAGCCCTAACAAAAAGGCACTGTAAAACTAACTTTGGTAAAAAATAATATAAAGTAATCAACTAAAATATAAAAAATTAAATAAAATAAAATATACGAATATAAGTTTGTTTCTTTTCTACCGTAAAAAAATGAATGACAAAAATAATTTCACTGATTTATTTTGATATCCAACTCCGAGAAGATAATTAAAAGATAATTTGATACATGTAAACAACTAGAACAACAAAGAGCAAACAAAAGAGACCAGGTAAGAAAGAACAATAAAACAAGAAGTCTTCATATGATAAGTTTGGAGATAAACCAAACCGATGGAGACAATTATGGTCAAACCATCGAGAAACAAACCTTCTATAGTGAATAGCGCATAAAAGAGAGGAACTAAAGCTTCAAGATCTGGGAGACCAAAGAAACCAACAACTTCTTAGTCATCAAACCGAATAGACGATGTCGATGAGAGGACGACTTGAAACGCTAACATGATGCTTAACTAAAGAGCAGATCTCAAACGGATCTTAGGGTTAATGACAAGGAGCGAATGAAATCAGCTCTGGATTCTGCCGCATGTAAAGAACAAGACCCAAGATTATAAGAAGACTAACAGGCAAGATCATTCAAACAAAGATTCTGGCTCAAAGATCAATCCTCATGGATTGAAGAGATGTCCAACCAAAATTGTCTAGATGAAGCATGCATTGATCACATAAACTAAACCTGACTCCGGTCCTATGGGAGCAACCGGAGCCGGTCAACTGGCGATTACTAGAGAGAAGATAAAGAGAATTAAGAGAGATGACCGTTTAAAACAAGCAATATAATTTATTTAGTTCAATAACATATACAAAATTTATCCAATATATCTATTTAAAATAATAACATAATATTAAAAATAAATTTGATTATTTTAATTATTTATTGATTTGCTTCCTGCCCGTAGGACGGGCTTACACATAGTTATTAAATAAAGATTAATTTGCCTTCAATTTTCATTTTATGGGTTTAACATATAAATCTATTAAAATTTCTGATAAAACCAAAACCATAAATCGGCTCTATATAACCTCTTAATATTTAGTTTTTATTTAATACTTAATATTCATAAATACAATGAGATTTTTAAAATACTAATTTATAGAAATCTTTTAAAATCTGATAAATTCTTACTCAATTTCAAAATTTGGACTATTTTATTGTATAAAATCTATGAATTAATTGAATAAATCAATATAAGATAAATTAATAAATTTCATCAGTTCGAATTGCTTGATTTAAATTATAATACCAATTAATACGATAATTTTTTTTATGGGAGTAAGGGATACATGTATGTCTCTTTCCCCCTTATTCACTTGCTTTGGAATTAGAAATCGTGAAGAATTTACGGTAGTTTTGACCCATGTTAGAAAAAATTGTTAGGCGCTAGTCGAGCGGTTAGATTGGACCTAGCTTCTAATAAGAAAATCGGGGATTAAACATAAATTATATGGGGCGGAATTTTCAAACAATTATTTCATTTATCGGTTTATATATTAATGAACTTAAGATTAAATTGAAAAAGCTAAAGTGGTCCAGTGGTTAGCGTCATTGTGTAGCGTATGTTTTGGCTGGGTTCAAATCTCCTTTTCACATTTTTTATCATTTTCTAAACTCAGCTTTAGTGAAGAGTAAAAAAAGACATTTTTTTTTCATCTTCTTTCTTACTTATGACCATGACTTTAAACCCTAATAATGGTGGCTATCGTTTTACTGTGATTCTTCATTCTTTTAGTAGATCTATACTAACTCTTGTTTAATCTATGAAATATTTTTTGATCTGGAGAGTTTAAGTGAAGAACAATGAAGTTTTTTCCACAATACCTGATTTTTTGGCCGATTATAGCTTAATCGCGGCGACTTTGATCCGCCACGCGACTTTCCGGTGTTTATTGGCGTTAGACACCACGTTTTAAAACAGAGGTTTTGAGTGATTTTCATAATATATTATTTTCAGTTGGAGAACATGATTTCTTAATCAGAAGAATGATCTATTTTTACAATATATTTATAATACATATGTAACATGAATGAGAATTTAAGTCACACGGTGATTATCTATGTTTCTTGAAAACAGAATACACATATGGACAGTCTTTACGTGCAGTACTAAATCTCAAGCGTTCAATGTCGTTCATATAGATTTAGAGTTATTCGTTTGGTTTGATAGAGTTTTACCGAATTTGTCGTTCATATAGATTTAGAGTTATCCGTTTGGTTTGATAGAGTTTTATCGAATCTGTTTAAGTTGATGAGAAAAAAAAAATATAATCTTATTAAAATCCTAAATTTATGATATATATATATATATATATGCAGACAAAAGCACTATTACTTGTTTTATATTCGTAATGTAAACTTTTCAAACGATTTTTATAATATTTGATAAATATTTTAGTCACTAATGAGAATCAAATTTCTAAAACATTATTTAATATATTGACAGTTAACGATTTTATTATTTTATAACAACTAGTCTAAAACAAACAAAAAAAGTAAGTGTAAAATGATTCTTTTTATATAAATTAATAACCGTATAAATCAATATAATACTATATAGTTCCGACATTATTAAATTATTATAAGAATTTTTATACATACGGGATGGAGTAAACGGTGGGGCTACGAGACTGGAAAGTGGAAGACTGTAGCCCATATTAACGGGCTTTCTAATAAAGTCAATTAGTCAAGCACTCCCCTAAAGTCTACGAATATCTTTATTTGCATACACTGTATGTAATTATGTATCATGTGTGTGTGAATTGAGTTAAGAAATTAGACCAAAATCTCCTTTTCCGATTTTATTGTTGTTTCTCGACCGACGCACCATTTGCAGACTGTTGTTGCTGGTTGGTAAACTACTACAAATCCATTAGCTTTCCTTTTATGATTAAAAAACAAACACTTTTTTTTCTAAGTTTAAACACTTTCTTTTGCTAATAATAACTTTAAGAAAATTTAAACTCAAATTACGTATCAAAAGGGTTCACATCTCGAAGGAGACAAGTTTTAAGAATGGCATTAGAATTTCGTTATACATAAAAAAAGGGAATGGAAGAAACCTTTTTCAAAGTAAACAAGAGAAAGCTAAACTAAAGCAAAAGCGTGAAAAATACTGCAAAAAAAGTGACACCCATGACACCATGACCATATGTCTATGCTTCTCAGTTTCTGACTGTCGACTAAAGAAAAGTAAAAAAAAAACATAACGTTTTAATTTATTTATGAGAAAATCTATTCAAATTTTTAAAAATATATTTTAGAAAATAATCTTTATTATTAAAATGAGTTTTTTTTTGAAAATATAGATATCAACAGCAAAAATGAGTATATTTAGAAATATGAATGACAATATTATTATTTTTAATCAAAATTATAATTAGTTGGATATACAATTTGGTTATCTTGTCTCGTTTATTCGTAAACCAACTGGATCAATAAACCAAATAATTTAGAAAAAATAATGAAAAGATCGTAATTTTAGTTTTGATATTTTTATACATTTATATATTTTTTATAATTAGGATTATATATTTTAGATGTGTTATTATATAACTAACTGTATTAAAAAAAAACTGGACGAAATTGATAATATAGTTATTTTGGTATAAATATTCAAACTCATTTTAGATATATTGATTATTTAGATATTTTTAGATTTCTATACATCATGGATCGATTCTAGTATATTGTTATAGTGGATGTATATTGTTTGAAAATAGTGATTATCAAACTAATTAACCGAGATACACAAACTTATTTAAGTAGATTTTTAAAATAGTATAGTGACATGAATACAATTGTCTATAATTAGGAAGCTTAAGATTAGACCTATCTACTTATTTGATATTGAAAAACTTCAAATAATTTATGTCTGGTAATATCAGTTTGATTCAGAAAATTTAATCTGGAAAATATGATTTAGTTTTTTTTTTTTAATTAGACAGAGTATTCTAGTCCTACAGAAATGGTCCAAATTAGTTATGTATTGTCACGTGTAAATGTTAATTCTGATGTTATTTTATTCTGTTTTGAAAAATGAGAAAAAGGATTGAGTATGACTTCACCGTAAATCGTACGACTCGATGACGCAATGGTTATGATAGCTATTAAGACGCCTCAGACAATGCATTTACACATTAAACCTTCCCTACTTATTTTACATTTTCATTTTCATAAAAACTATATACAGAGCTTTCCACTAGTCAATGTTAGACTATCTACAATGGTTACTTATTACAACACCCACTTTTTTCCTTTTAACACTCCACATCATCTTCTCTTTCTTCCACATCATTATTCAACATCTATATAACTTTTATCATCTACAATAGTTTTGTTTAATTAAATTACAACACCTTATTCTACTATTTTTTATTTCATATTTTTCATTTTGTTTATGTCTATGTTTTTTTTGTGATTACATATTATTAATCACCGGTAACATCAAATTAAATTTTAAAAAAGTAAAATACATAATTTTATCAAATGAATTTAGTTTTAATATTTTTTTTTAATTTTACATATTATTTTAAATTTTTATACAAATAATAAAAATGAGAAATAGAAATAGTAATTACTAAAACACATACAATGAGAAATCATTTTTTTCTGTTTAAAGATGGTTTTTTTTCTGTGTCCAAATCAAATGAAGGTAGTTTCTATTTATAGAGAATGAAAAATTATAAATTTTGATATAAATTTTGATATATTTATTTATAAATATAATGAAATAATTGAAGTTATATAATTGAGATGGAAAAAAAAACATGAAAATCAAAGCAACCAATTATAATGTAACACTTGTCACACTTATCTTCTTCCTTCTACTTTCACGGGTGTTGAAAGTTTTCAACACAAATTTTGCCATTTCACGCCACATCACTTCCCTAATTATTACAACACACCATTGTAGTATGATTAATTTTTTCAACTGTTGTAAAATGGTTTACAACAAACCATTGTAACTAGTCTTATGTTTTTAACCAATCCACAAAACTAAACAAACCCATAATAAATTAAATAATATAAAGTCTTTCCCTCTGGAAACATGTCTAACACTCGACCTATGTATAAATAACACCACACACCGTTGTTCTATACACCACTTATATTCACAAACCAACCCATAGAAACCCCCAAAAAACCTAATGGCTAAACTCATTTTCCTTCTCGCCGTCCAAATCCTCCTCCTTGCCTCCGTTTCTGCAACCGGAGACGACGGAGAAAACTTTGCAAGAACCATAGATCGGAAACTTCTTGGTCTCCACAAGAAAGAGAAACTAACTCATTTCAAAGTCTACTGGCACGATATCTTAAGCGGTCCAAACCCAACCTCCATCATGATCCAGCCACCGGTTGCAAACACTTCCTACTTCGGAGCCATCTCCATGATCGACAACGCCTTGACGGCGAAAGTTCCGATGAACTCAACCGTGTTGGGCCAGGCCCAAGGCTTTTACGCTGGAGCGGCTCAAAAGGAGTTGGGTTTTCTAATGGCTATGAACTTTGCTTTTAAGACAGGGAAGTACAACGGAAGCACCATCACGATTCTTGGTCGGAACACCGCCTTGTCGGAAGTTAGAGAAATGCCGATTGTTGGAGGAAGTGGGCTTTTCCGATTTGCTAGAGGCTATGTCGAGGCTCGGACAAAGTGGATTAATCTCAAGAACGGTGATGCTACTGTTGAGTATAGCTGTTATGTTTTGCATTATTGAGGTTTTGTCGTAATTATTTTATTTAATTCGACAACTTTAAAATAAAACAGTTTTTGAAGTTTTTTTCTTTTTGCATTTTGGCTTATGGTGTGTGTGGTGGGTTTGTGGTAGAGGAGTTTTGTCGTTTAATAATATTGATGATATTTTTATTTCAACGAGTTTTTGATGTTATGTATTCACTTTAGTATATGTTGTTAATGGCCTTGGACCGACATCTCGACGTGGTCGGTAGAAGAACTCGACGAACACGTTAGCAAAAAAAAAAAAAAAAGAACTCGACGAACACGTTAATGACTTCGACAGGGGCGGTCTTGTGGTTAAAGATGCCCTAAACAATTTAGTAAGAGTTTTTTTTTAAAAAAACCTTTTTTACAAATTTGGAAACCTTTTTCTATATAAAAATTTTGAAATTTTTTGGGGATGTTATGCAAATGTTTCGTTTCGCTATGCCGAAGACCGACCTGAACTTCGACAAGCATACTAAATACTCCTTGAGTTCATAATAAGTGTTGTTTTAGATTTCGACACACGGATTAAGAAAATAATTAATTTTGTATATTTTGTTTATATAAAAACACAATTACCTATACATTTAATCATATTTCAACCAATAGAAAAATAAATTACATAATAAACTAATAAATTTTATATTGAAAACCGATAACGACATTTATTTTGCAGCAAAATTTTTTTTCTAAAACGATACTTAATATAAAATGGAGAGGAGTAAGATATTATGTTAGGGCTTCATTGGCATTTAAATTTGGTAGCTAATTCCTCTAATGTAATTGCTGCACATTGATTGTTGCTTCATAGTTTCTTGATTGCTGGAACGACTTTTAACTCGATGAAGTGACTTCTCCTTGCAGTAAACATGTTACTTCTTAACTTAACAGAAACACATTACTCAAGAAACATGTTACTACCTCTGTTCCTAAAATATTAATATTCTAGTTTTTTTACACTTTTTAATAAAACATAATAAATTTGCATAGCTTTTTGTATTTATCTTCTTTCCATAATTTTAAACCAATCAAAAATCAATAAGTGCAATAAAGTTTTTTGAAGTTTACAATTATTTAATAAAACATACATTGAAAATGTAAAAAATAAATCTTTTAGAAACAAATTTTTTTATAGAATATGTATCTTTAAGGAACAGAGAGAGTACTTCTTAACTGAGAAAATACATTACTTCCTCTGTTTCACTTTATATATCATTGTAAATTTTTTTATATATATATTAAGAAAATCATTAAATTTATTGTTTTATTCTTATTTAATATATTGATTTTTTGATTATTTTAATTAATGAATTGAAAAAATAAAGATAAATTTAGAAAAACTAGATAAATAATGCATTGAAAATATAAAACGAAACTTAAAATAAAACAAAATTTAAACTCTAAAATGACAACTAATACGAAATGGAGGGAGTATTATTTTTATTTGAAAAAGAAAAAGATAAAACTTAATTCTCTAAATCATTATAACACGACCACTTTTATACTAAAGAAAAAGAGAAAATGCTTGTTTTATGTAATTGGAAGAACTTACATTCAACTTAAAACTAATCCTTTTCAAAAGAGTCAAAGCATTAAGGTTACCAACTTAGCCCATCATAAAAGTAATGATAGTTTTGAAAGTAAAAAAAAAATCACATGTTTGTTTCTATGAAAGGTTAATGTCAGGATCAAGATTGCTTCTGGATCACCATGTGGAGCTGTTGCGTCTGAGGCCAAGGAATCACAAGTAAATAGAGTAGTTCTGGATAGGTATATCGTCTTATAATTTCTTTCTAGAATTATTTAGTTTAGTTTCTATCTGTGTGGTTAAAAATGGTTCTTCTACAGGCAACTTAAGCACGAAGAGAAGCGGTGCATAGATGGACTTGACACGATCATCAACAAAGGATGCAGTGAGAGAGTGTCCAAAATTAGCATCTGAAAAGAAGAAAACGACTACCACAAAACTTGGTGGTCTCATTTTGAGTCTCGTTATGGGGTTTGGTGAGCAAGAAATGTGTCCTGTTTGAAGAGTATGCAGTTGAAGAGATATTCAGAAACCGAAATCATTCATACGTTTCAAACAGCTTCAATGTCTATATACCCAGAGATCCAAATTGGCAAGTCTCAGGAAAATTAAATCACACCAGTCTTCAAACACGTTCGCATTCATTCTCAAGTCGAGAACACGCTCTCTCAGCCAGTGTATCTGGTCTTGGTGTTGCGTTTATTGGAAGTCAGAGATCAAATCAAGTAAATGAATTTGATGCCTAAACCAAAGTAATTAGGACTAAACCAAGTAATTAACAAAACAAACCACCATTGGATGAAAAAAAACGAAGGAAACATTGCAAGTTATCAACAAATTCAAACTGAAGAAGAAAACGTTTTCAATCACACAAAACCTCACACACAAAGATCAAATCGTATTTCTATGAGGAAGGGTATGACATCAGCCCAGAAGTTTCAGTCACCGCCGCAGCTTCCTCATCAAGAAACAAATTATCACTCCTTCTAATCGCCGCGTGGATCAGAACCAACACAACAGCAGTCAACAGCGATCCGAGAATATTCCCCGTCGCGTGCGTGAACAAAAGCATACCAATAGTCAAAACCGATAAACAGATCATGACCGTCCGATCGTCCACCTGGTGACCGAAGACAACGAGAGGCTCGTCGCGGAGGAAATAGAGGAAGATCCAGAAGACGACCAGGATTGCCAAGACGAGGAGGGAGGTCGGGTGGTAGAGAAGGCTTAGGAAGAGGATGACGAGGACGGCGATGACGTAATTGGCTCTGAAGTAGACGAGATTCGTCTTGATTCTCGAGATCGCGTCGAAGAAACCGTGGGGGAGAGTCATGGACTCGGTATCGAACATCGTTTTCCATGGGCGGCGCGTGGCGAGACCTGATTTGATGCGGTGCTTGACGTGTGAGATGTACTCGAGATCTATTGGGGGAGATGGATGAGACGACGTCGGAATGGAGCCGTAGTTCGTCATTTCGTCACGCACGCGTCTCTCAGATTGGTTGGAGAGAGAGAGAGAGTTATGTAAACAACGTTTATGTATTGCTGGAAAAGGAAAATATGATCAGTTCCTATGGGTTAGAATTAGGTATGCTGCCGGCATGGGTGTCATATATAGATAAAAATAATTAATACAGATAATATACCCAAACATAAATGCTAGTATATATTATTGTAAGTTCTTACGAAACTCTCCTCCATCCCAACAGGGGAAAAAAAAACTCCATTTATAATTTTAGAACATTTCGGTGCAATCAGTAGCATCTAGAGATGTTTTATTTATTAAAACTGTGTAGAAAGTATATTCTGGGACTAATTCCATAAAAATCACTACTTAAGTTTAATCTGAGATTGATGTATTCTTTTTAATATTAAGCAGTATACAAATCATTTTTAGTCTATTCGAATCTCTGTAGAACAGATTCTGAATTCTGATGCAGCAGTTGTCAACGGGTATATTCCACTGTTAATGGATTAAAACCTTATAATGGATGTGGCTGCGTATTATGTTTATTGAATTCTTACAGTCTCAATGCCAACATCTTTTGCCAGTTTATCAACAAAAATCTACGCCATTCTATCAACTAAAAGTTTACAGTTCATTACTCTTACCTCACAGAAAGCTTCGCTCTCTCCAGTTAACTAATCATCAATGTTGTTTGCTCTCTACGTGAGCTGAGTTCCCTTGCATCTCTGGGCAATTCCGCTTAATATGCCCTGTAAGACCACATCCATAACATGCCTTACTTTTGCATGGTCGAACGTGTCTCCGCCCACGCTGTCCGGACATGGATGTCTGCTCCGTTCCTGAGTCCACGGCGTGGTCGTCCCATGTCCGTTTTAGAGTCCCCTTTGGCGCTTGGGACGCTCTAGCTTGCATAATCTCCACGTCAATGTTACTCTCCATCAGGACTGCAGTCTCCACCAGGTCGACCATACTCACGTACCTCCGCATTTGGCATCGGTTCTTAATGTCAACTCGCAAGCCCCTCAGGAACTTCTCTATTTGTTCCCTCTCATCGATGTTCCTGCTAACAAACTTTCTCAAACGATAGAACTCCTGCTCGTACTCCCTCACAGTTCTAGTCCCCTGGCGCAGTTCTGAGAAGTCTTTATCCATCTGATCGATGGCTTCTTCCGGAAAGTATTTCCTGGCGAATTCATCCTTGAAGTCGTACCAGTTGAGCACATACCCTTCCGGAGTTCCTTGAACCACATTTTCCCACCAGATATGGGCTTCTTCTCTCAAGTAATGGGCTGCTAATTCCTTTCGGTATTCCACTGGACACATGCTGGACTCGAAGTTCCTTTCCAGCAGTTGCCACCAGTTGTCTGCGGCTACCCGGTCAGCACCGCCACCGAAGGTCTCAGTACCCAAGTCTCTCATCCGTCTTAATGCGTGCCAGTATGATGGTATTGGCGCGGTTGCTGTCCCTAGCGGAGGAGGCCTATCCTGACAGGCACCTCTTTGTACTGGCGGAACAACTATGGCTCGAGAAGCCAGTCCCACTGCTGCGTTATGCTGCAGCAACGGCCCAAATAGCTCCTTGATTCCGTGCAAGACGGCTGCACTTACTGCCGCAGTATCCCCCACGGGAACATGTGTTTGGCCATTCGCACCATCCTGGGGCTGCCCCACGCTGCGTGTGCACTCGAGAGTCTCTGCTGCCTCAGCTCGGTTGGATGCGGTTTGATTTCCAGTGTTTCTTGGCTGGGACAGAAGGTTCATTCTTCTCTCGGACGGCATCTGTTCCGAATATCCATGAGAGACAAGAAACATAATACAGAGGCATATAATAGTACAAGTCCACAAAGATGAGTGGGTACCAGAAAACCATTTTGCTCTCCATAAGAACCACGGAAACTGCCATCCACATTGTTGAAATTCATCCCATATGATCCACCTGGACACATAACATATGAGAGGAAAGGAGTTAGCCACTTGATGAAAATACCAAATGCTTCCAGCAGGAATGATGTAGGAGGTTCGTACCATAGCCCCACGGCCTACTATCAACAGCAGCAAGTTCTGCTCGTAGCTTTTCAACATCACGCGCCATAGAAACCATGTTATTTTCCATAGCCTGCCGCTGCTCCAAAAGCTCAAACTTTTCCTTCTTCTCATAGTCAATAGCACCTCTGTTCCAAAAGCAAAAGCCATCATTTTTTTTAGAATTTACAACCGAAACCCAGATGCTCAGGCATTAAAGTGTATTAACTAGAACAACTAATAGAATTAGTAAATAAATATTCAAATTGATACCTAGCGTGCATAAGCTCTTTCCGCAGGTCTAGTAGCTCAGCTCTCAAACCTGGAATCTGCTTGTTATCCGATTGCAATTTCACCAAATCTTTCCTAAGTATCTCAACATCTTCACTAAGTTCACGTTTTATATCATTTAGTTTCTGAACTTCACCACGCAACTGTACAGCGTCTTCTTTATAAGACTCCATAGCACGAGCATCCTCCTCCCTTTTCTCACAGAACTCCCTCGATTGCAGATCTTGTTCAGCACGAAGATCAGAAATGATGAGGTTCATCCGGCGAATCTCTTCCCTATAAGACTCCATAGCACGAGTATCGTCCTGCATTCTCTCACTGAACTCCCTCGACTGAAGATCATATTCAGCACGAAGTTCAGAAACAGCGAGATTCATTCGGTGAAGTTCTTCCTTAGCTGCACCGAATTCTCGCTCTAGAAGCACTCTGTGTTCAGCTAGTCTGTGATTATCATTGAAAAGCCTTTGGTTTTCAACAGACTGTATTTGAAGATCTTCCAACAGTCTCTCGGGAGAGAAACCACGTGGATCATGATAACTGCTAGACATTCTGAAGTAAAAAAGAGAAGATTAACGATCAATGTTTAACTTTCTCGAAACAAATCGAACAATTCAAAATAAAAAAAACTTGTATAAGGATCCATCAAAGCATATCATGAGCCATTACATAAACGTAAACCTACGAGAAAAATGAGTTTCTCCAGAGCATGCATTTGCTAAATAAGAACGAAAGTAGGGTTTTATAACATCAACAAATCAACATAAACCTAAAACTAAGACCTAAGACCTAGATCATAGAATCGATTTCGAATTGGACTGATCGCAGATCGGCAATTTCTAATTGGAAATCAAAGAGCAAACTGCGTTTCTCCAGAATCATGCGTTTTCTCTCAAGTAAGAAGGAAAATCGGGTTTTATAACATCGAAAAGGTAAAATCAACCAAAGACCTAGAGAGAATCATTTCCGAATTGGATTTGATCGCAACATAATATTTCAGTATGGAAGATTCAAAGAGGATGAAAGTATAGAAAGGTATCTGCGAAAAACCGTAAGAAAACAATACAAACCTTTTCTGCTGCGGTTATCGTCTTCTACCTTCCTCCTTGTGTGTTGCTTCAGCTTTGTTTCTCAAGTCTCTCTCTCTTGGTACAGATAACAACGTAGGTCCGTGGCTGCGTTCTTAATGACGACTGGTTAAAAATCTTCCGTTTTAAATCATTTATCGGGCTTCTGATGGATTTAAATGGGCTTTTGTTTCTCAACTTGAGCCTATGAAAAACCAATAATCATATATATATATATTTATATATATAATGAGGGAGTTTTTGCCTCTCCCTCAAGAGGCCATGTCATCAAAACTTGAAACGTGTGGACTGGTTTAATGTTCTGTCTGATTTCTGGTACGGTAACAACTTACCGAAACTCTGCGTTTAGATGCATGCTAAGGATTTTGTTTGAGTTTGTCTTTCCAGTAGCTCTCTCGACGTTTTTCAACTGAAAAGTTCTTTCCTAATCTCTTTCATCTCCCTTATCTTACAAATGAACCTGTTTGGATTTTTTATTACGAGTTTTATGATTTTTGTTTTGTTTTCTGATTAATTGATATACACCTTCATTCAAGATGCATGATTTCACCTCCTTTATGTTNTTTTGTTTGAGTTTGTCTTTCCAGTAGCTCTCTCGACGTTTTTCAACTGAAAAGTTCTTTCCTAATCTCTTTCATCTCCCTTATCTTACAAATGAACCTGTTTGGATTTTTTATTACGAGTTTTATGATTTTTGTTTTGTTTTCTGATTAATTGATATACACCTTCATTCAAGATGCATGATTTCACCTCCTTTATGTTTTCCTCCTTAATAGTTTTTTTCCTGGATTCTTCAATATACTGTCTAATCTACGATCTCCTCAGTCGAAGATCAAGTTATGACCATGAGATCTGCTAAATCCTCAGGAAACTATTATGTTGCCGTGTATTTCACCGACTTCTCCTTGATCCAGCCGAATCGGAACTACACTTGCGGTTAATCCGTTTCTAGGAGGCAAGAAACACAACTAGATGTGGTCTGCTTATTGGCTCAAAGCTTCTCAATCCATCGATCCAAATCAATCTCGGTAACCACTTCTTAATTTCTTTTTCTAACCAAATTTACATGGACAAAGTCCGCATTTCCGACGAATCTCGAAGTCAGTATCAATTAGTAGAGTGTTTTTATTGTATAGTTTGTGGGTTTTTAATTGACTGTTATTTGTTGATGATTGTAGAAGATATATATGTTGATTTTGAAGACCTTTCTTTGACAAGACAAAACGATGGCGGATCTCTTCAGATTCCTCCTCAGCTCTTAGCTTTAAGCGAACTATATTTTAAGGAGTCCTTTCTCTTGCTTAGCTACATTCCTGGGGATGTTTATACTGCAAGCCTTAAGTTTGTGTCTTTGTGATGGTAACATTTACCCTTTTTGTGATTCTTTTGATGTTAAACATGAAAGATCTGGGACAAGGTGAAAAAACTGCCAAAGAGATTAAAGGATGAAAGGATTTGCCTATGGTTGCATATGAATATGCGTTTTGGGACCGTTTGGGAATAGACTATTGTTCCTCCACAGACCGTAGAGTGGTATGTCTGCTAGACACATAGTTTGTGCTATTGCAATTTTTAAAAATGGTGGAAAAGATGATAGTGAGAAGAAGATTCAGTTTTTTTTTTTTTGTGGATCTTTCTCCTTCTCTTGAGTATCTTTCATGCCATTGCCCCAAAATTTTTTTTTCTCATTGTTCTAACATGCTATTGCACAATTTTTAAAAATGGTGGAAAAGATGAGAAGAAGAAAGAGTTTTCTACAAAGGGAATAAAATGCTACTTCATACGCACAAACTCTACATGCAAACGATATGGAACGCCTTACATCTTTTCTGGTAAGCCAATTTATGAAGCTCGCATGCATTTTGTGCACGTGCACACATTTCCATCTTTGGCAAACTACACGGCAAGATGCTTTAGCTTCTTCTCTAAGTCTCATGTTTTATCTTTGAGCTTTCTTAGAGATATTTTCCTTTTTAATTTGAGTCACTTGTGTTTTTGTTGATGCTTCACGTTTTCTTTGATCCTATCAAAGACTAAGAAGCTTGAAGTTGACATGACTGGGATTAACTTCGAGAAAATCAATGATATACACTGCCATGTATATGCTGTGGTTGAAGAAAAATATATGCAGAACCTCTTTCTTAAGCCATTTATTTATTCAAAGTCAACATTTATCATCTATGTTTCTATAACTTTGTTATTAATGTTTCTACCTTCTTTCACTAACTTTTGAATCCTGTAAAGAAAGCGCTGGGACTTGTATACAAAGGAAATCAAAAGAACATTTTACTAAAAACTTCTTTCGCTAATGATTTTACTGGTTTATAATAAAGAACATTCTTCGTCTAATGTTTTTAGACTATGAGTGAGAAAGAAGCTACAGAGATGAAAGGAATCATGGAGTCTGAAGGGAAGTGGAGTTTTATGTGTGTGCCCTCGGGAAAACGTGAAAAAAAGATGTTCTCCATCTTAAAGCAGAGGAAGAAAGAGCACCAATTGGTTCCTGTATTGTGTAATCATATATGAGGTGGACATGTTATTAGAACATGTGAATGCAGTTATTCAGCGTGTGTAATCTCTTTTGTAGAATATCAACAACAACAACATAACGTGGAGTTTAGTTATTCTAAAGCATGAATGCATGTTAACATATATCAACTAATCAAGTTTTTGTTCGAAGAGATATGTTTCGTTGAACAGTTGAATAAAGTGATGAAGCTATTGGTAACCTTTTCGGAGTCCATGTGGCGTTCCTTCTAAAATAAAAATCATATAATCTTCTTACGTATCTTTTCTAAGTGAGTTTTGATCTTCAACAATATAAAAACATAGTATACGAGCATGGTTATTGAGTCTTGGAAATCAATAATATTGGACATATAATATCTATGAACCCCGCGCTTGTGCGGGGTTAACGCACCCTAGTTGTTATAATTATACTGTAAAACTCTATAAACTAATACTCCCTCCGTTCTTAAAAGATCCATGTTTTGGAAAAATATTTTGTTTCAAAAAGATGTATATTCTATGTTTTCTATGAGAAAATTACAAGTTTCAAAAAAATTAATTCGTTTTATTAGATTACTATTGGCTAAAAGTTGTTAAAAATTGAAAATTACTGAAAACGATAGTGATTTAATGTGTTTTCTTAATATGTGTGAAAACACCAGAAACTCTATCTTTTAGGAACAGAGGGAGTATTCGATAATATAATAAATTTTTATAAATCAATAAATTTTATTGATTTCTATTTGACTCGGTTCAAATTTTGACCAAAATCGTTAAAATAATAAGATAATATTTTTTAGAAAATTCTATGTAATATATAGTGTCATTAAAATTATAATTTAATAATTATATGTAGGGTAATTCATATTTTATATAAGTAAGAACATATCATTATATTGTTTCTTTTATATTTTCTTAACGCTTATTATATTTTTGATGAGATTTGGTAATATTATGTCTAAAACCACATTTAGATTTATGCAATATATATTATATACACAAAATAATATAATAAAATTGATATAAATGTCAAATTTTTTAAAATAATAATTAATGTATATATAGTCAAATCAAATATTTTTCTTATTTTAGAAAAAAATAAAATAAGGAATCTAAATAAGAAAACTTTTGTAAATTAATATCTCTATAAATTAATAAAATTTCAAATTCCAACATTATCAATTTATAGAAGTTTTACTATTTATTGTTTTATTTTATGTTACCTAAAATGTATTTATTATTTAGAGCATGAAGATCATAATTATAGTAAATGGGAAACTACATAAAATGAAAGAAGAAAGTAGTATACCAAAAAAATGAAGTATTATTATTCGTTCGGAAGGGGCACTATGAAATGATCGAAATACAACTCTTTATATAGCCAGAGATTCGATAGTTGGGCTCCATCTATATTTCCTTACGAAATCTTCTTGACTTTTGTAACACTCTACCTTGAAAATTATCGTCATTAATATTTTATATACAGAATTTCATGGTACCTCATTAAAAACATTTCTTGGTAAATCCGGTGGGAAAAACCATAGCAAGGTGAAAAGAGTACAACCCAGAAATCTTCCCCTCAAATAGTTGACGGTTACAGGTTTTGTTGATGACACACTCCAATGTTGTAAACATGTTTTCTGAATGTCGTAATGGGTAGTAACTTCGTAAAGAGGTTTGCAGCATTATCACAAGACCGAAAATACTTCCCTTCAATTTCTTAATTCTTTTCGATTTCTTGGTATATGAGAAGAACTTCGGTGGAATATGTTTGGTTCTTTCACTTTTTATGTATCTTTCCTTTGTTTGAGCGACATATGCTGCATTGTCTTCATATAAGATGGTCGGTTATGAGTTGACGTTAATTCCACTACTTGAAAGGATGTGTTGACTTATTGATCTGAGCCAAACACATTCTCTACTTGCTTCGTGGAGAGCAATTATTCAGCAGGTTTGAGGAAGTGGCTACAAGTGTTTGTTTCTGGGAGCGCCATGATATAGTAGTTCCTCAAACTGTGAATACATACCCAGTTTGTGATCTAGCTTTATGGGGGTCTGATATACCATGATTTTGACCTGTTTTTAGTCATGGTATATTAGTGTTTTACTACTATTTACTATACTATACAAGATTTTAAGCATATTTATGAGTTCAAGAGTATTTTAGAAGAAAGTGTTGTTTTTGGAGCATTATGGAGAGAATTTGAAGAAACACTCGATTCAGACTCGATCACGAGGTCGACACAGAGAGACCTGGATCGATCGACATGCACACTGCATAATCGATCGATTATCAAGACCCACAAGCCAATTCGAGAGCCAAGTTGACTTGAAGCCCAATCATCACCAAATGACGATTTTACCCCTGACGAGTTTTAACCTAAGTTTATATACTCTGCCAAAGTGTTAGAGACAAGAGAGATTTTTATTGTATTCTTTTCACAGCAAAGTTTTAGGGTTTATAGTTTGAAGAGAAGATCTTTAGAGATATTTAAAATTGGAACTCCAATGTTTTTTTACCTATCTATTTATTTATAATATGCAGTCTTATTTATCTACTTATGTTATGAATTGCTTA